GCCATTATATTAATAAATAAATAAATAAAAACAGGAAATTGTGATTCTTTTCTTTGAGTTCTCTCCATTACTCACACCCAACTCCAACCGCATCTACTCGCTCAGTCCCTCCTAAATTGTATGTTTATACTTCAAAAACAAAAATGATGAAAAAAGGAAACTTTCAAACAAGCAGCCATTTAATTCAAGCGGGGTGCATCCTAAATGAACGCCGGACATTTGTAGCTCCACTTCAAATCTCAATAGCCAATTACCCGTGGTTACCTCTAATTATTTTCAAGCGAGGTGTTTTAGCCATTATTATTAAATAAAAATGGTTCATGTTTCTTGACACTGTGAGCACACCAATTGGGCTACATAAAAACTACTACCTCGGTCCCCCTATTATTGTCCCATTGCGGTTTACGATGTTTGACCGATGATAAAGCAAACGGACCCCTATCCACACTCAAATTATTTTTAGAAAAAAAATTACATATTAAGAAACTACATTTAAAGCTTTACAATGTCGCATAAACCAGAATCAAATTTGATAAAAATTTGATACATTAAGTAATAGATTAAGAGTGATTTGTGTTAACCGAGTGAATAGGAACTAAGACAATAATAGGGGGCAGAGGGAGTACCATTTTTGCTAACCACTTAGACAGAATATTGTGATTCTTTTCTTTGGGTACACTCCATTATTCACACCTAACTCCAACTTCCTCTATTTGCTCGGTCCCTCCTAAATTGTATTATTGTATTTGGATAATAAAAATGATGGAAAAAAAGGAAACTTTCAACTAAACAGCCACTTAATTCAAGCGGAATACACCTTAATGAAAACCAGATTTTTGTAGCTTCATATCGAATCTCAATAGCCAGAATTACCTCCAATTATTTTCAAGTGAGGTGAATTAGCCATTATTTAAAAATAATAGTTCGTGTTCCTCGAGACTGTCAACACCCCAATCGGGATACATAAACGCTACTCCCTCTGTCCCAATTGATTGTCTCATATTTCCATTTTGGAGTGTTCCAAATTGATAGTGTGATTTCCATTCTTGGCAAACTTTTGATATAAAATGTCCATTTTAACCTTAATTTTAGGGTGACTCAATTTTTAAAGTGGTATCTCAAACAAAGGTAATTGAGAAAGTTTTTCCCACTTTTTAAAATTTTGTGCCAAAAGAGTATGAGTATTAATTTGGGTCGGAGGGAGTACTATAAAAGTAAACTGTGATTATGTTCTTTGAGTTCTCTCCATTATTCACACCCAACTCCAACTTCCACTACTCGCTCGGTCCCTCCTGAATCGTATTTTCTACTTCAATAGTAAAAATGATGGGGAAAAAGAAAACTTTCAACCAAACAGTACTTTAATTGGAGTACACCTTTAATGGAAACTGAATGCCTACAAGGAATGGAATGAAGTATTCCACCTAAATTTGATCTACCCTTCTGGTACATTATAGAGCGGCAGTAAGATTGTTATTTCAAAAGGAATGGCCAAACCGCGATACTTTTAAATTCATCAGTAGCCAAGGTGATACAGAATAGTGCTTAATTGGGTAACTTGCAACAGAAAATGAAATATCGCGAACATCAATTCTGCAGCTTACAAATAGTAGAAAAATACAAGTACCAAATCAAAAAGGAAAAAGCAAGAACTTACATAAAGATCATGCTCAGCATAGTCAAAAGCTAGGTATAATGACATATCTACAAAGTTGATGTGCACATTCACCAGTTTTATAACATTTTCATGGGATATCTCCCGGAGCAACTGCATAAATTTTCTTTTGTCAGTAGAGAGAAAATGAATTATTAAAACACAAGCATAACTTCTTCTCAGAAATAAGGACTTCTAAAAGTTAAGTGACAGGATTTCAAAAATAAACTCTGTATAGGTGTATGCAGGAACAGAGTGAATTCTTTCTCCAGGAACTTCACAAGAACAGCAACTGATCATCCAAGACATAGGTGAAACATCAATCCTTTTTCATGGTATTCAGAAGCAAGGTATACAAGTTAGATAGCTTTCTTGTGTGTCCACTTACAACTTTCAAGCCTTTGTATTTAAAAAATAATGAGAACTTTGCGCAGTTTCAGCAAAATTTGAAATTTTAGAACATGGTGATGCAAAAAACGCAAAGATTGGCGAAATAACTAGAAGAAATAACAAGGGAGGGGCAAGGGAACCATGATTTCGCGAATGGCAGTGGGGGATACACCATCCCCGTCCTTGGACTGCTTGAACTTCTTAATAGCGATGGGTTTGTTTCCGCTAGATTTGAGCTTCGCTAAAAACACCAGTCCATACGTTCCTTCACCGATTTTACCTAAGAGATCGTATTGTTGCAGCCACTCCGGCCTGTTAGCGCCGCTTCCTCCCCCTCTACTGCTGTTGTTTCCATCTCCCATTGGTCTTCGGTTCCTTATTGGTTCTGTTCTTATATATCTGAATCTTTCTCTCTGATTCTTATACAGCTACTATTCCAACTGCGTATTTGCAGTCTTCAAAAACCCAACCAAAAAATCAAAAAGATAAACCGCAAGTAAGGGTCTGAATTTCCGAACTTTTCCAACAGCAGAAATAAATTGTGAAAATCTACTCCAATCGGTGCTTACAACTTACCTTGGAGGTTCTGGAAGCAACTTATTGCCTTTTTGGGCGAGAATGCGGGATGAACTGAATCAAAAATTTGGGCAACAGATTCCAGTTCGGTGGCAGTATTAATTTTGAGATTTCCAGTTTGAAGGAACCACTTGTTTATCGAATGGAAACCGCAGCTTAGTTTATTGTGATAAAAATCAGATTTGGGATGAGATATGATTATAAAAATGTGCACTCAATTCAACGGCCGAGGTGGGTGATCTCAGTATTTCATTTTTGGAGCCTTCTTTAAAAGTACAACTCAGTACAAGCACATCACGATTTCCTTTTCCTATGTGTACAACGCAATATGAGATCACAATTTTGGGGGATCTTTTTCATATAAAATCATTTTTTATTTTTTATTCTTGGGTAACTTCATTTTTTTAAAAAAAAATGCCTATATCTTATTCTATTCATGCAGTGTACTAGAGTGAAGTGCATACATAAAAGTTTAGATCAGATGGAAAACAAACCTGATATTGAATCAATTAACTGAATAAATAAATAAATAAATAAATAAATAAATAAATAAATAAATAAATAAATAAATAAATAAATAAATAAATAAATAAATAAATAAATAAATAAATAAATAAATAAATAAATAAATAAATAAATAAATAAATAAATAAATAAATAAATAAATAAATAAATAAATAAATAAATAAATAAATAAATAAATAAATAAATATATAAGTTGTATTTCATAATAAATTAAAAATTAATGCTTGAAGTTAAATATAAATCATCATATGATCAAATAGTTTTGTGTGTATGTTCATGAAACTGTAAAGGGAGACCACAAATTATTGTAAACTTATTTATATACATCGAGAAGATTTTATCGTATGATGGACTTGACGGCTTGTTACTCACAAAACAGCCACGTCCAACGATTCATTCGTAAAAACATGCCAACAGAAGAATATGTCGACCCTTTTCAATGACCGTCCATATATCTTATTATTGGTCATTGCATAACTAATCATTAATGGAAACTACTTGCGTTAAAAGGTGAATATGAGTTTAACGCCTCGTGGTGTTAACTTAATGAAGAAATAAGAAATTTTTCACCGGCATTTTCATCATGTATCATATAAGCCTCGTTAATTTCTTTCTCAAAGTTTATTCACCAAAAGTCATGTGCCATTGCACAAACTTCAACATTTAGGAGTATTCATTCAAGACATTTTAAAACATTTTAGAATATGTCAAAATCTAAGTCATGGATTTTGAGACATTGTATAAATCCCAAAATGTCGAGGTGTATTCAGGTTGGACTAAGTCATGGATTATACTTTACAACTTGGAGTTATCCGACTTTACACACTCAAATACAAGCACAAAACCCATTTTCAAATCTCATCCCCTTAGGTGAGATTTGAAATCCATTGACGCGAAGGAGAAAGGTCGCCCATATAAATTCTGTGTTGCAGCAGTAGAAGGTAGCTGGAAAAAGGTCATCAGATAAATTCGCCATTGCATTGATTTCTTCCCCAGCCGAACGAATCCCTAACTCCGCCGGAAAAAGGTCGTCAGGAACTTATGTGTTTGGTCTGCAAAACTCAGTGAATCCTCGAAATAAAGCTTCTGAGCACCCTGAAATAAAGCTTTTGAGAACTAAAGCTTCCACTTTGATGAAAATTGGTAAGTTGCGGGTCTGGCATGAATCTTGCAGGAAGTTTCACGCTTTTTGAAGGAAGCTTCACCATTTTTCCCAAATATGTAAATAGTCCATAAATGTCTTACTTAAAAATCCACACAATCTTGAGAAGTCCATACAAGTCTACTAAAATCTCATATTGTCACAAATCTTAAAAAGTCTAAATAAGTCCCAAATGATACACCCCCTTAATGTTTTAAGAAAATATGAAAAATGTATCTCCTATAAAAGGTCACTATCTGAGTTAAATAAGCTGAATCTGATCATAAATAACTCTTTAACTCGCAAAATATTTGGCCCAACATGTAATTGTTGACCTTACCAACTTCATCTTTGATTCGAGCAAAAATAGCCCTGAAATAAATACAATAAATCAAATCGCTATGGGTTAATATATCGTGATAAATACTCAAATAATAGATTCAACACAATATCAATGAACCATTCTTCACTGTGGTTTTCTTTAAAATCACAATCCTTAATAATAAAAAATATATATAAATTACTCACATTATGGAACAATAATTGTGGAGAACTTAAACACTTTTTCATTTAAATAGCAAAATACATCACACACATATAGAGAATTGAGGTTCGGTTTTTCCAGATAAGCATTTGAAATTTAGTATACTTCATTTAAATAGTCCCTAAAGGATATTCAACTTATCATTTGCAATATACTCCATTTTATCCATCGAAATACTTAAAATATCACCGATATTTAGAATTTAGACAATATTACTCGCTCTTGGTTTTTAAGATGTGCTCGAACATATAAAACGATAGTTACATTAGAATGAACTTATGGAAAATAAAACATAATTGATACCCTCGTTAAAGTAATTGATCTTGTTGCAGTTATCCCACAGATGCAGATGAGCTAATGTTGGCAAAACAGACAGGCCTCTCGAGAAATCAGGTATATATGCATAGTTTGCTCCAAACTCTTGATTTCGTTGTCAAATTGCCATTTTTTGGTGGAAAACTGTCTTTTGAGGCCTATTTTGTTGGGCTATTTCCCATCTAGATATGACGCATTTTTGTTTTACAACCATCTAAAATGTTAGAATAAAGTGATGATGTAAATATGATCCCTCTCCTTCCACCTCTAAAATCTTGCAAAACAATAGGGCTGTTGGGGGTCCGTCCGCGTGAAATTGGAATTTGGTGGACTACTTATTCAAAATAGAAAAACATGAGGAAACTTGATACGGAAACATCTTTTAATAGAAAAACAAGTGACTGTAGGATTTTTATTGAGTTTCGACCTAGTTAACAAAATGAAAACGCACACATTCGAGATAGTTTTCGTGCTTGATAAAAAATTACTTCATCTGTGTAGTCTTTTAACTTTTTTTTTTGCATTTGTTACATCAGAGCAGTAAAAATCTGTAGCCATTTTCTCATAGCAATTGATACATGTGTGATTGGGGTGAAATAATCATGAAATAGGTATCAAATTGGTTCATCAATGCAAGGGTTAGATTATGGAAGCCAATGGTGGAAGAAATTCACACTCTTGAAACTAGACTAGCGCAAAAGGATTCACAAAAGAAGGAACAAAATGACAATAATCAAAGTGAGCATTCTTCCATCAGGAACAATTCCGTTGCCACAACATGCGAAGATCATCAGCTCCCATCAAAGCGAATGAGGGAAGAAGAAGAAAACCACAACTCATTGCAGGGAAGTGATCAAGAGGTGGCAATGGACCTGTCATCATATGGAAATATGTCACACCACTCTCGGCTGGGTATTGGCCCGACCACGACCCGTGGCGTCTCATTGACGTTGGGCCTTCACCAAAACAGCGAGCTTGGTCCATCGACAGATTCTTCTTTCCCCGTGAATGCGGCTCAGCAGTTCGGTCTGGATATAGCAAGTACGGAAGGATTTGTACTGTCTGGTTTAGACAATATAGCACATCTTAAGTTGGATATCCAACTTATCATTTGCAATAACACGCAACTACAACTAAATACAGTGAATCAACAATATTGCAAACATTTACATTATTTTTCATGAATCAAGAATAGTATGTATTTTAAAATATGTTCTAGTAATACCAACTATTTGATTATGTAGTAGAATCGGTGATATTTTAAGTATTTTGATGGATAAAACTTTTCATAAAAGGATAATGTTTCAAATATTAAGATACTAATAAAAAAGAAAGTGTTGAAAAGAAGAATATTGAGTGGTAAGTTGGTAACTACATAGTTTTCATTTTCACTCCTTTTGGATCTTAAAAAATAAATATTCACAAACAATTTAGGGTAAAATGTCAAATCAGCCATCAAACTAACACCGATAGTGCAAATCACCACCAAAATTAAAAAAACTTCAACCCAACCCTAAACTAAACTCCGACAGTGCAAATCACCACCTAAATTAAAAAAAACTCCAAGTCGGCAATAAAGTGTGTAAATCACCCCCTGAATTAAAAAAAACTACAATCAAATTCTCCAACTCGGTGATATAGTGCAAATGGCTTTCCTAAGTTATAAGGTTAAAGATGATGTATGTCATTTATTAAAAAAGTTATGCCACATAAGATTCATTTATGCACATCAATATATCTCACTTAAACCTTTTATTAACTACTTATAAAATGAGGTTGAACATGCAATCTTTTGAGACGCTCAAGTGTTTCCACGATTGGCTGAAGACCCACCAACGAACTCAAGAACTAAACATAACATCTCACCGCCACTTCATGGAGGAAAAGACCCCGATCAAGGAAGCGGGAGTTTCAATGACTAAGAGATTTGTGTAACCCTTCTATATTGTTGTTTAAATATTTTTGTATTTGTACAAGCCAATCTAATTTTCAAATAAATTTACATTTCATTTTTAATATGTATGGTTTGTTGATTGTATTAATATAGTTTTTTAGGCAATTTAAAATTGAAGTGGATAGTTAAATCTAATATGGCGTAACATTTTTAATAAAGGGAAAATAACTTTAAATAAGAAATTTTATCAATTCAGAACCCGAAAGATAGATTAATTATCAATTTAGGACCCGAAAGATGAAACGTATCGGTACAAGACCTGAATGATGGAAAACTATCAAATTTAGGACGACCTGACATTTCATAGGGTTTGATTTATTTAATTTTAAAAAAATTCCATTACTAATTTTTGATAAACTTTTCTTCACAAAAGTTTATTAGTTTAATAAAAATAAATAATATTTAAAATTTTTAAATAAAAATAATAATAAAATTTATGACAACTTAGGTCCTAGATTGACAGTTTTCAATCATTCAGGTCCTAAATTGATAGTTTTTCATCATTCGGGTCTTATACCGATGCATTTCATTATTCAGGTCTCGGGTTGATAATTTGTCTATCTTTTGGATCCTGATTTGATAAAATTCCTTTAAATAATATCAACTATCACTCATCAACCAAACTAAGAATAATATATACATACTTTAGAAATAAGTTGTAGTAATACCAACTATTTAAATGTAGATCAAAAGTGATATAGAGCATTTTTTCACGAAAGAATGGCATGGATATAAGTGTTGGCCTGGGCTTTTCAATGACAAAATATATGACCTTATTTTACTTTTCCAAAAATATGACTTAACTTACGTATAAAGGTCACTCATGACTCACCCGACCTTAGCTTTCGTCCCTCCCATCCCAAGACCTTTAAACTTCCATCGATGCTCTTCACTTTGCCGCATACGACCTGCGCCGCGCCGCCACACGATTCACGTCAGCCGTCCACCTCCCACCATATCCATAGCCAATTAGTCAATCTCTCTCCTTGTCTGATGCTCGTCATCGTCCGGAATTTCTGTCGTTCTTCTCCCTCTTCTCATTTTTCTAACCGGCAATTGGGATGGAAATCAGAGGCGATTTCTATCTGTGGCGGCGGATGGAAGAGATTGGGGATCGACGTCTCGACGATGTCATCTGACTGAGGACGAGGTGAGTGGATTTGGCCGGCGTGTGGCGCTCTGGCGGGTGATCCGGATCGAACAACTAGGGTGGGGATGCTGGAGCAAAATCGGGTTGCAGAGGAGGGGTTGGGCTGAGGGATTGAGGCACTTGTAGGCAGGGGAGGGAGGGGCTGGGGCTTGGGAGGGTGCAGGCGATGAGCAATGGGGCCGAGCATTGGGCTAGTGGTCAATGGGTTTGGGGGGCTGGGGGACCGGAGAGGGGGGGTGGTAGACTGGGGAGGGGGCTGGTGGGATGGATAGATGGGTTGGTGAGCTGGGGAGGGGGGCTGGTTGGATTGGGGAGGGGGGGGTGGTGGGATGGATAGATGGTTGGTGGGCTAGGGAGGGGGGCTGGTTGGGTTGGGGAGGGGGCCGGTGTGGTCGTCATCGTGGCGGTTGCCGGGTGTGGAGAGGGGTCTAGAGCCCTTTTGTCAAAACATGTACTCCATATTACAAAATTGTCAAAATAAAACATATAATAATATATTTAGAGCCCTTTTGGTAATAGCCAAATCGCCTGTATTGGCTGATTCTGCTGAATTTTATGGAATTCTGGTTGATATGGCTATATTGGCTGATTCTGCTAGTTCGTAAAAATAATAATTTAAAATACATTATATCAATACAGTAAAGGAAAAATTATCTGAAAATAACTAAAATGATCATCTAACTCCAGGCAATACAGCAGAAAAGTAACTTCAATCTTACTTTTCTTACTACACAATATAGCCCGTAAAACCAAAAGTTATGTGTTTAATGAAAAAATTGACTTATAAACCTGAAAAGCAAAAAAATATGGCTAGGGCTATTGAGAAGTCAAATTATAATGGGAAAATTATTATTAATCTCCTGAGGTTATGCCATTATTATTAATGCAACCTTTCATTTTCAAAAATCAATTAATTACCCCCTGAGTTTTGATCATTCTCACTATATGCCCCTCTCATGTTAATATTTGTTAAATTAAATTTGATATAATTCTCAAATTCAATGATGTCTATGAAATTAATTTTTAAAGTAACACAATTTATTATCATAATTATGAGTCATTGTTTTTTATTGTTATGTTTTTTGCTTAGCTACTCAATCGTGGAATAAATATTGATCATAGTAGTTAAGGTAAAAAGAGTCTCAATTGAGTAATATTCATGGGATACATAAAAGAAATATTGTTTGAAATATGTGTTATCAAAATTATATACACCTCTTCATCATCAATATAAAAGTCTTATTTGTAATTCATCCGGACGAATTAATCTCAATAACACTTCTTTCATATGTAGCAAAAAACCAAGAAAAAATGAATTTTATCAATCCATGACCTAAAATATTGATCTAGTATTGATAAGAGACCTAAAAGACAAAAATGTATCGATATAAGGCCTGAATAAATGAAACCTATCGATCTAAGAACTAAAATATATTCCGAATATCATAGATTTTGATTTGTTTAATTTTTTATTAATTCTATTACTAATTTTGATGATTTCTTCTTCAAAAAAATGTTTATTAATTTCATAAGCTTAAATGATATTTAATTTTTTTAAATAAAAAATATAAATTCATAATATTCTATATCTTACTCGTGAGTCTTTTTCCTTAACTACTTTCATTATTCCACGATTGAGTAGCTAAGTATAAAAATAACGGTAAACAACAACGACTTATAATAATGATAATAAATTGTGATTTACTTTTAAATTTAATTTTGTAGATAGTTTTTATTGAATTTGAGATTTATATTAGATTAAATATAATAAATATTAACATAAGGGGGAAAACGGTGAAAATAATCAAAACTTAGGGGATAACTAATTGATTTTTGAAAATGCAAGGTTGCATTAATAATTATAGCATAACCTCAGGACTAATCATAATTTTCCCAATTATAATTACTTTGTCTTTAAACAATTTTATCTCCTCTCCCCTCCCAAAAGGCAAAACCAAACATACCCAGGGTTTGTTCTCTCTACCATTAGAGATGCTTTTTTTGTAGAGAGAAACATGAAAGTTAATCATCCGATTGAAGTAGCGAAGACGGTGTTGGAGGTCGCCGACGTGGCATGGACCGCCGTTGAATGCTGTCACCACTATCACCGCGACGGCCGCAAGGAGGCGCCGTCTTCACCATCTCTGAAATCAAACAGAGTAGAAGGGGATTTGGAGGCCTTGCGATTAGAAAATCTACGATTAAGGCAACTGCTTGAACAAAATCTAAAGCTTCTACAGCCTATTTTACAATCTCCTAAGTTATTGCAAGATTGCCCTTCCGATGTACGAACGTTTACAAGCAAACTAAACAAAATGTTAACAAGTTTTCGAAAAATATTTGTTGTTTCTCCTTAAAATGAGTTAAATTTTCTTAAGTTCATCCTTTTCAGCTCCATGGTCGGCTTATTGCTTCTGTCGAGTCTGGGGACTTTTTGAAGCAACTGGAATATCTGAATCCGAATTCAGCACATGTGGATGTTTGTAAATTTCCTTTCAACGAGGCATCAGGTTCACGTTTATCCTCTCCTCTCCTGTTTTTCTTCTTCTGTTCATGTTGTTGTAAAAGCATTCTGGAATATCATCATTCGCATGTTTGGTAATTCCAGAAGAAGAAAAAAATACTACTCCGTAATAAGTTCTTTTGCTTTTGTGACCATTCAAGACTTTCTGTGTTGGTTTATTTTCATAGATTCAGACATGGAAACGGCTGAGGTTCTGATAAAGATTGGTCTAGAAGAACCAAGTCGATGGGTTTGGGTAACAGATGATATGGCTCCTAATAATGTTGAGGAAAGGAGTGGAATTGATAATGAAAGTTATGTAATTGTTAACGAGGATTTGATTGTAGATGCAGTTGCAAACTTCATGGCTAGATGCATTATGTCCAACAGGAAAGCTCAGGTAACTGGCATTCAAGAGACCTCCCTGATCTTAACCTGTAATAGTTGGTTCTTTGTGAAATACTCTGTATGTGTTACTTCTTAAGTTTTTCCTTATTGCAGAGCATG